TGAATCTTGGTGCGTGTAGTGTGTTTATTGGAGCTATAATTAAAGCTTGCAGCAAAAAGCACGCAAGCCACAGGTATTGTGGCACGACCCCTTTAAGGCCCGACTACAGATGCGCGTTGAAGCCCATCAGCGCGTAACTTTCAGACATGACATCGTGCCCTGTCCTATGGAGTGGGTGTGAGAAGTTTTAAAGACTGTGCTCTTTTTTTTCTTTGTAAATGCGATATCCATATATTGTAAGTGCAATAAAATTGGTAATTTTTTAAAATTTTAGCATGAAAAATTCAAACCTAGCATGCTGGTTTGAGTCCTTGAAAAACTTGCAAAAGGTCCTGGAAAATCCTTGAATATCATTGAATTTTTGCTTTGCAAGCCTGTGTGTGCAAGCCTGTGCAAGCCTGAAGACCATTGAGCTTTTCCTCAATGGTCTTCATCATGATGTCCGAAACACTGGTAAACGGAACCTCTATACAATAGTCCCAAAAGTCAACACTAAATGAATACAGTTGGTCTGGGATGCACGTCTGCGATGTTCTCGACAAGCGTGGTACGCTATCATAATCTGATGATCCAAGAACACATAATGAGTGCAAACGCTTCATTAAGTGGTGCAGTTGTTGACAGTCGTGACCTCGCGACACACTAGCAGCAGACGACGCTGTCAGCGAGCATCAAACTAATGGCAAGGTGTGCTAGAGCAACATGGCAGACGCCACCAGCAGGAGGCCTCGAAGTGATCTTTTAAAGGGGTCCTGCAACACTTATGGTCGGAAAATGCTGCCGGTCGATAGTACAGGCTCCCAAGAACATGCAAGCCAAATAATATAGTGCAGCACGCGGCCTGCAATTCGCATTAAATTATCAAAGTCAACCAAAGATTGCTTTCTCTTCTCTCTGCAAATGACGGAAGACACTAAAAAATCACTCGTAGAAGGCCATCTATCAGCCATTGGCTGATTTGAACATAGCGTGCTTGGTTGTTACAGGGATCGCCGCTGGAGGCCGCGACTTGTCCACGCAGGCACGTGCGGTCATACATAAAAAGCTGCGTATTCGAAGAAGAAAAAAAAGAAAAAAGTGCTCAAGGTTACGAGGATTACGTGATGTATTTTTTTTACCCCTGCCATTCCTTTCTGCTTAGCTTCCAGCACTTTCGTCGGTACAAAAGAAGAAAGTATGCGATTGCAGCGTGCGACAAATCTTAGTTACTCCGCTTGTACTGGACGTATTCTTAACATTTTTGCGGTGTTGAATTCTTGAGGCAATAAGCTCTTTTAGTGAATCCATTCGAAAAAGTGTTGCAAGGCCCCTTTAAAGTTCAATTCGAGGCCTCTCATTGCTGTCCTATTTTTTCTTTGTACGCTTGCTTTACAGTGGAAGCTGTTATGAGATCACAACAAATGTTGCGTGTGCCATAGTTGTCTGCTGCCGCCGATGTCCGTAACTACTGTCGTGGGAAATAATAAAAAATTAAGTAAACAAATAACACCAGTGACACAATAGGATTCAAACCTAGGCCTCTTGCGTGCAAGCACAGCACACTACCGCTGAGCCACGCTGGTGCTTGAAAATCTGGGGCGAATTGGCTCTATGTCGGGAATCGAATCGCGTTAATATCAGTGATAAATTGTTTTAGTACAGCAAAGGAACGATCAGGCGTAGCACAATGTGAATCGCGTTACAAATGGGTTGACTAATGCTCTAGCCTATTACAAAAACTTGAGGCACAAGTATTCATCCTCGTCAGCCACAGCATGAAAAGAAATTGAGATTCCTTGCAAATGTGTAGCGCGTCTCACGCTTCTCCGAAGAATGACGAAGGATAACATAGTGAATGCATCGGTATGATGAAAAATTGTGCGTCATTCGGTGCTGGGTACCCTGCAAGTGTTCTTGTAGCAGTTAGCCATAAAATGTTTTAAAAAGGCACTGACAGGCCGCTGTTCCAGCTCCGCAGAGGGACCAGACACAGACAAGGCATGTCCTACGTGTGATGGCCTAGCCAACACAGAACTCGACAGCTCCATAACGGTAGCAGAAGTGCACGCAGCTGCGCAAACTTACAAAAAGAACACAGCCCCTGGCAAAGATAAAATCACGAATGCAATGATTGGCAACCTGAGCACTGAAACACAATGGAAGCTCACTGACTTCTTGAACGAAAAATTTGGGACAATGTAGAAGTACCACGCAAATGGAAAGAAGCAGAAATAATATTAATACCTAAACTTGGAAAGCTCAAGAATCTGCAGAACCTTAGACCCATCTTTCTGGCGTCTTGCATAGGCAAACTATTCAAGAATGTCATTCAGACACGATTGACTTTTCACATTGAGATGCACCGATTCTTTCCCAATTCAATGTTTGGATTTAGACCGAAGGTAGCAGCACAGGACGTATTCCTGCTACTGAAGAAAGAAGCGCTAAACCCGCCTAACAGGAGCACGGACAGGTTCATCGTAGTCTTAGACATCAAAAAAGCCTTTGACTTCATATCTCACGAAACAGTACTTTAGTAGCTACGCAACATTGGATGCGGATAAAAATTGTTTAACTACATGAACTCTTTTTTGACGAACCGAACAGCTACAATAGGCACTAGTTCAACCCGATCAACGTTAATGCCAATACCCAACTGCGAAACCCCGCAGGGCTCAATTTTGTCCCCTCTACTTTTTAATGTTGGGATGCACAAGCTTGGCCTATTGTTATAGGAGGAATCTGAGCTATGTAAAGCAATATACGCGGATGACATAACGTTATGGGATTCCAAAGCCTCCATTAGCGACAAACAAGATATCCTTCGAAAAGTCATCGACAAGGTCAAAGGATTTTGCATGAATGCAGGCATGTGATGCGCACCAGAAAAATCAAAATTTATTATGTTAAAAGCCAAATATTCAAGAAAGGCAGGATGCCCCTATATACACCTCAATATTGACGGCCAACCTATCAGAGAGGCGCAAAAGCTAAGAGTCCTCGGATCCAAAACAATGGTAGCGTAGATCACACGATTGAAACAACAAAAATAGCTCGTATGATACATAGGGTTATGCGGAAAAGGGAAGGCATTAGGAAAGAGGGAACTCTGCACCTTGTACAGGCTTTTGTCATAAGTAGAATCACATACAGTCTACCTTTCCGAAAGTTAACCAATAATGAAACAGCAAAAATTGACGCAATCATAAGAATGGCATACAAAGTTGCGATTGGACTGTTCACCATTGCTGGCACCGAAAAAGTTGGGGCGCTAGGACTTTATAATACCTACGAAGAACTTACGTCACGGACCTACGAAGAACTCACGTCCGCCATGCTGATATCTCAAAAGGAAAGATTGAATTCGACGGACCAAGGCAGAGCTCTAGTCAAGCAGGTTGGCTATCCCTTACGACCTCAACACGCCGGAGAGGAGACATACTTACTACCTCACCACATTAGGGCCCAAATCAAGGTGTCCCCATTCCGAAGAATATAAGCGCTAAGTTACACCCAGGCAGGCGGCAAGCCAGAGCAAGAACACTACAAAAGCATTATGGTAACAACCCAAGGGTTTTCTACACAGACGCCTGCAGACTCCAAGGCAATAGTTACGCAGTTGTTGTGACCAGTGGAACTACAACTATAGCAGCATCAATAAAAACCCCGTCAGTCAGCAAGTCCGAAACGGCCGTGCTGAAACGGTGATCGGATGCGCTGAACGAAAAGGAGACTCAGCCTTTGTGATTACCGACTGTCAATCAACTTGCCGTATGTTTCAGGCTGGGGCAATTCCAAGGGTAGCTATGAGAATTCTAGGAACGCAACTACAAAATGAGCATGCAATACTTCGGTGCCCCGTGCATGCGGGACTTGAGGGCAATGAAAGGGCCGACCGGCTTGCTCGTGAAATAAGCATCGAAGCACCGGTTGCGACCCTCGAGAAACCCCCAATAACTCCACGCGACATCCTCGAAAACCAAAGAGGTGAATGAAAATGATACAGTCATCCCCATCCGGATCTTCACCAAGAGAACAGGCGCGATATTTGCGTCGAGTACAGACCAACACGTACTGACACTTCCAAAGAAATGACCACATAAATCCGGCAATATACACACGAAGCTGTCCGTGGTGTGGCGAACGGCGAACTCTTGCCCACATTAGGTGGGTATGCGAATTACTGCCCCAAAACGTCAATTCTCCCAGACAACATCTCGACCGAGGCTGTGGGATAGCTGGCTTGCTAGCAAGGATCGGGAAAGCCAGCTGGCTTTGCTCAACCAGGCCCAGCGAGCCGCAAAGGCCAGTGGAGCCCTGGACCGAGGACCCCATCCACTTGCCCAGAAACCTTTTACGGAATACAAAGAAAATTTTTTCTCTCTCTCCGTGCAGGCCTGGCAGTTTTTTCTGAATAAAGGACCTGGCTGAAGTGGGAAATCTGGATACAGAGAAATGCTCTAACGAATCCAAAATGGTGGCGCCCACTTACACTGTTGCAGAGTTAGATTTCTTTCATAATATAAGGATTGTCTGCAACATTTTTACAGCTATTTTTCTTTGAAGTATTAGAAAAATATTCAAGAAATTTCAGAAAATTACTCAATGCTATTTGCACCTAAGATTTTGCTGTTGGCACAGCTATACTTGTAAGTGGCTCTCATTGAGAAGAAACACTTATACATTGCACTGTTAAGTGAGCCAGAAACTTAAATGTCTGTGATGTCACAGCAACGGATCTCCACCAAGTTCTGCCATAAAATGTAAATGGTTGACTAGGCTTTTATTTTTTGTATTTGTTTTACTATTAATTATCTTATCATGAAATGAATCATGATAGAGGTTTTAAAGAGTTTTTATTAATCTAAGCTGGTTCATGGTTGATGCAAATACAGTGAAGCCCTTCTTTACTTTTTGTATGTTTAATTACAGCACAGTGTGAATTTACAGTTTTTAGATGCTTTAAAATAAAGCTCTGGCATATGCTACCATTGTGCACACACAGCACTTTCATGTTACAGCTTTGCAAAGCCTGATCAGTGCTCCTGGTGCCATCATGAAGCCCGAGACTGTGCAGGTGAGGCTGATCACACTCGCATTATAAGCATGCTTGATCCTCTTGCAGTCATAAGCATTTACCTGTCTTATGGTTATCCTGGTAAGAAACTATTTAGTGAGCGTTGGATAACTCATAATAATTATTATTAAATCAGTTCTGAGCACACGTTATTCTCGAGGCTCTTGGTGCAGTGTTATCTCTAGCTGGCTTGACATTGTAGAAGGTCACCATAGGGGCACTCATAGAAGAGTGTTTTTTGGTTGGCTCTTGGCAAATTATATTCTTCCGCAGAACTGCCAAGAAAAGAATGGGCTAATTAATTCGAGTGCGGTGCTGGCCAGCACTTGCAAAATGTGGAACGGCATTATGCAACGCACATATTGAGTCAGCCGTTGGAATGGCGGAAGGCTGCAAAATGTGGAACGGCGTTATGCAACGCACATATTGAGTCAGCCGTTGGAATGGCGGAAGGCTGTAAAATGGCGAAATGATTGAACTTTGCAGGAAATACAGTGCAGCCTGGTGACTCTGCTGGTGCGGCTCCAGCAGCCTGGCAACCCCCTGCCGCAACCCTACCGCAGTCCCCGGTGCCGCCGTGCCCTCTACGCCCTGCTGCTGTCCCTGGCAGCCAGTCGAAATGGCCCGCCACCACTCCACTGCTGTGCTCGGCTCTTTAACGTGGGCCTCAAGGACAGCTGCTATGAGGTTCGGTCCCCCTATTCTTTTTCTTTTTTTAATTATTTTTTTTGCAGCTCTTGATCTCTTATCGCATCAAGTGTTTTTTTCTTGAATGAACATCTCTCTTGACCTGCATCAGTTGTGCCAACCCCTTTTTTTTTTTTGCGCATTTTAGGAACTTGTCCCTCTGTACAATTACCAGTTCTGGACTGTGTCATTCTTTGCCCTTTTTTTTTTCTGCTGCCTTTCCAAATCGTGTGCGCTCCCTTATCTACACTTTTGTTGAGCGCATAAACAAGGCATCATGTTTCCTAGACTGCATCTGTAAATGATCTGTAATAAACAGTGCATACTCCCAATTCACTTGCCAGCCGTTGCTTGCGAGTGCTGCCAGTTATGCGTGTTTGTTTCTGCTCTTTGTAATTTAGGTGGTCGAGCTATGCAGCCAAGCTCTTTCCTGCCTGTCTCTTCATCCTCAAGGCTCTGGGCCCACAGGAACATGGCCACCGCTGCGTTGCCATCGGGCTGCCTGGGTCCTCTCTGACGGGGCGTGCCAGACCACGCCTCCCACACTGGTCAGTGTCGGCTGTCAGGTGCAGTTGCAGCCACCTCCATCGTCGCCCCGCTCCCACGCAGTAGCTGTGCCACAGCCAATCAAGCGGAAGGCTGCCGCAGCTATGCATTACCGAGCTAAACGCATCACAACTCTTGGGTATGCATTCTTTTCTCCCTACTCACTAGCGCTATTTACATAAAGCTAGTGCTCTTGTATGATATAGAGCTTTCTACAATGTTTACTGGAGGAAGCTGTGGTGCTGCAGTTCAGAAAATGGTGGGTGGTACATGAATTTGCCTAGCCTTTGTGCGTGCAGTCTCGAATGCCCTTGTGCCTGTGTTTGTTATGTTCTTGCGCAATAGCATGGAGCTTGTTATGGAAATTGCAGCATTAGTGTTAGTTTCAGTGTAGGCGTCGCTGGCTGTAAACGAAAAATCATTTTCTTCGTGACCAAGAAAATTGAGAAAGATGCAAATCAAATAACTAATAAAAATTTTGGAGTCACAGTGAGGATCAAACCCAGGCTGTCTGTGTGGCAAGCAGGCATTCGACCCCATAGCTACAATATTTGTTAAAACTGCTTTGGAAATAAGCAGTTTTAACACTACTTTTTTCCAACACTGCTGTTGTGTAGTGGGATGAGTCTCTTTTTAAAGGCAATTCCCAGCAGACTATAAAATACAGCTGCATTGGTGTTCGCCCCAGCTGAGCACACGCAAAGGTACCCACTATGCGTGATGACTAGAGGCCGGATTTTTAGGCACTAAGAAAGTGTGTTTTAGGCACCAAAGACAGGCGAGTAAACTACCGTTTTAGGCCCTTAAAATCATGATTATAGACACAATAAATTTCTACAAAAATTTAAATATCCTCAAATAACGACGTCGGTGACTTGTATCTAAGGCAAAAAGCAAAAAAAAATACTGTTTTAAAATAGCAGAAAGGTACTAAAGATTGAACATTGGCATGCATTTCCTGCCTGATTTGCAGTATGTGGTCTTTCGTTTTATTGTCTAGCATTGTGCGACACATGTCCACCATTCACTTAACACTCTCCTGGGTCTCTTTTGTTTTGTTGTGGCTGGGAAGGGCAGCGCAGGAGCAAATAACCAGACCACTGATACCCCAGAAGAGAGGGATGCTAGGTCTAATTGCGCAGGACCAATTTCTCCCCTATCGGTGAACACCTTCAAGGTCCCCTCACTGCGTTTGGGCATTTGAGCTGACAAGCGTAATGGTGCCCTGGGTACTCCGTATCATTCCTGTTAAGATTTGCAAAATTACATGTCGCTGAAATACACTCAATTTCTAGTAAATGCCACTTTCCTTTCTCGCGGGCATGCGCGCCAAGATCTAGGGAGTGACGCACAGCATGAAATAGTCCTGTTTTTACGTCGCTCCTTTACGTTGACATTGCTGGGCTGACGTCGCATACCGTACGCTCTTCATCAGAACTTCCTTAAACCTTAAATGCTAGCTATATCTAGAAAACTGATGTAAAATGTCCCGCCTCCTGATTATATTTGCATTTTGAACGGTACCTCATTAGGAGTGTTGCACGTGACATTCATTTATTTGGCATGTGCAATTTATGTGTTCTGTTATGTAGCATGAAGGAGGAGTACTTCGGTTTGGGCTAGCTGCTTCATATCATTTTGAAAGGGAAGCGCAAAGACAAAGGAAAACGCTCTGTTTCTATGTCTTTCTTTTTCCTCTGTCTTAGCACTGCCCTTTCAAAATCAGGATAATGTATAAAAGCTGAGAAGTTTTATTTAAGCAAAGTACACTTATTTAGTAAATCAAAAAATTTATTCAAATTGCACAAACCACACCTTACTCATGAGGATGAGTCGGAGAAAAAAAAAGGAGTGAAGGTTAGTTTGTTTGGCAAGCTTGAGTTGTTTTTTTGTTTTTTTTCATAAGGTACGCACCGATGCTTGAAGAACTAACCAGAAATTCTGGACAAGCCGCATGCTCAAAAATAGCGCTGCAAACGTTCAACAGCCTCTTTAGCTGATCGGTCTAGTGGCATCACTACACTAGCAATATTGTCATCACATTCATCGCTGTACTATTGATCCTCATCCTGTTCTTTGGCAATCGTTTCCACGAAAGGTACGAACATTTTCATCAATTGATTCGTAGTCCTGCAGCGTGAAAGGGGAAGACGGCACGACCTCACTGAATACTGCATAAATGTCAGCATTAGCAGGGCTTTCTTCTTCATCAGGTACTGCTTCTTGCACTTGAAAGCCAGCATGATGAAAGCATCTGTGTATTGTTGTTGCCTTCATTTGCTCCCAGGCACAAGCCAAAATGTGGATGGCTGCTAAGAAATCTATGCTGTTGCATTTCCCACTGTCTGCACGAAGCAGCATTCGATGGAGCAATTGTCTGCGATAATGCTCTTTAATGTTCTGAATAACCCCTTGATCTATCACTGGATCACTGCCGTTGCATTGGCTGGTAAGAACTACAGAGTGAACTCCAGGCAAGAACTCTAGGCTTGGAGTCTCAACCTGACCGTGGGCTAGGCAATTATTCATGATGAAGACAACCTTCCTGCCTTGCCTCGTAAATCTTGCGTCTTCCTCCCATAGCCAGTTTTGAAAAATAGCCATGGTCATCCACGCTCTTCTGTTTGCATGGTACGCAATGGGAAGGTGTCAAACGCCTTTGAAACAATTTGGGTGCCTTGATTTTTCTATTACCAACAGCTTCAGTTTCTCATCTCCTGCCATGATTTCATTTACCAGCACTGTGATGCGATCTTTACTGTGTTTTCCTCCACTACACACTTCGCCTTTGAAGGTGAGAGTCAAAGCAATATCTCACCTGAGATTGCTTTGAAGACTAGGCCAGGGGGTGTTTTGATGCGGCTGAGCCATCCGTCGCTTAGGACGAAGTTCTCAACATCTATTTGCATGGTGATCTCTCAAGCTTTCTGCTCGAGAATTGGTCCGCTTATAGGCAAATTGGAACTCCGTGCGCGCTTGAACCACAGAAAAAGAATTTTTTCGAGTTATTCATAAGGCACCGTCCGCATTCGCATCCGCATAGATGTAAGGGTCCCGTTCTTTAAAGCGCCTTCAATCTTTTCTCTGTCTTTGCAGATCCGCGACAGCGTCAATTTCGGGATGTTATATTTTTCTCGGCTCTGTCTTAGGCAGGCCACTTTGATCGAGCTCCTGGAGAATTTGCAGCTTTTTTTCAAGCGAGAGTGCATGATGTGGCCGCTTCCTTTCCATCCGGCTGAAATAACACCGTAATCTGCCTCACTTAGCCACACAAGTAGGCCTAACACACAACTGACTCGCCGACTCGACTCCCACAGCCACCACAAGCCAGAATGGCTACTGGATTGGCTTGTCTTGAAGTGTTGCCATGGTTGTGAGACTACCTTTGGCTTGAGCGAGTCTATGCTGTGTTTAGAGTTTGTCGTTTAATCGTAGGTGACCAGTAAGCACTGTTTCGATTAACCGAAGAATGTTACTACGCAACACACAGAAATCCAGCCATACGAGCCCATTCAGTTCCGTTAATGAGGCATTTTCGTTTAAGCGAGTTTCGTTTATTGGGAGTCCACTGTACTACTACTACAATCATCCCATTTCGCTTGCGTTCGCCTTCTTGTTTTTCCTGCATCGTTCCTTCGCCTACCCTGACAACGCTTAGCTCGTGTTTGCTGTGTCGTCTCTGAACGCAGTTTCAGTGGAGTGACGTGGTATATCGCAATCTTAATACATGATGTTTGCCAGCCTCTCCTAAAGCACACACACTCACCGATCCATCCCGTAGAAACTGGTAATACAGAACAGAGAACGCCGACACGACACAACATCGATGGCGTACATGCTCAAGTAGGCTGGGGCACATCATGCACGCGTGACCTTGCTTACGCATGCTGTTCTTTGTGCGTATGCGTCATGTGATTCTCCAGCCCCGATGCCAAAAAGAACAGGGAAGGAGTGAGGCTCTCGATGGCTACATGGGACAAGAGGCAAGGTATCCGAGCTTGCTTTTTCACATCATGCTTTGGTGGCTCGTAGCGAACCAATTTGAAAAATCACCGTGGTAGAACGCTTTTCATTGGGCACGCAAGAACTTCTAGTGTCTAACTACAACTTATTATGTCACCTAGAGAAGGACGCTTAAAAAGCAAATTACAAACAAAACAAAACCTGCGTGCACATCACATTTTTTTACCCGAAGGCGCTGCCAGCAGATGGGTTATAATGTCAAAGAAAACGCGCCTTCATTGACACAACACACTTTGTTCTCTTTATAAGCCATTCAATTCTGTCATGAAACTACATAACAAAAAATGAACAGAAAAATTATATCTGATAGGAAATTCTAAAATCTTAATTATAGTTGCAAGAAGAGGACTGTTTAGGTACATTCATTTTGGAATGCGAGTTTTACCATGAAATGCTTGACACAGGAGCTTTAAGCGCAGTTTAATTTGACGCAGTGATGGTAATTACCATCCTAGTTCATTTTTCATATTGTTAAAGCTGTCATTTTTGAGTAATGGTTTAGGACAAACCTTGAAGCCCTGTTTCGTATTTTTTCATGCTTGTCACTTAAAGACATATGACAAGGGGTCTCATTTGGAACAAGCATATTCAAGCATACAGTGAATGTATGCTAAATACTCTGTTGATTGTAAACATGCCGGCACCTGTCTCAGGCTTTGCTGTATAAAGTATAAAGATTTGGCAACCTTCGCCACTATTGAATCAACAAGAGCATTCCATGAATGGCCCTTCATAGTTTTTCATTCGTTCTCCAGCTACCCGCATCTGCCCCAGAAAAACGTGCTCTTTCTTTCCCACAGCAACACCAGGTTTTTAGGGTGGTTCTTCAGTTACTTCAGGGCACTAGATAGCTGTCTGTTGAGGGCGGTCGCCATGTCCTCGGCCATAGACATCACATTTATTTTCTTACTCTATCTTTACCGTAATTACTCGAATCTAACGCGCACCTTTTTTCCGGTTAAGCGAGTTCATAAATCGCATGCGCGTTAGAATCGAGCACGAACAAAAAAATTACGGCCAATCTATTGCCATCGGCAAATCTAAAATGGCCGCCCCCTACGTGCGTCGGCATGGCGCGTCGTCCATTTCTGCCTATGTGTTTCTCATGTGCGTCAC